CCCTGCCACGTTCAACAGGTGTGTATCACATCTGTTGAGGCCAGTACGAGAATTCGCGCCGAGTTATTTCGATGACGTATTCATCCATAGTCGAGCTATGGATGGAAAATCGGACGTTGAGGTTCACAGGTACCACGTCCGACAAGTTCTTACAATCATGCGAAAGCATCAATTGTATGCAAACCTCAAGAAGTGTATATTTGCAGCAAGCGAAATACCACTTCTTGGGTGCATCGTTGGTAAGAACGGTGTACGTCCTGATCCCGAAAAGATCAAGGCGATCACCGACTGGCCTGTGCCGGTCGATGTCAAAGGTCTTCGAAAATTCCTTGGGCTAGCGGCGTATTTGCATAAGTATTCACGCAATTACGCCGAGATGACTGTGCACCTCTCTCGTTTGTTGAAAAAGAACGAGAGGTGGTTATGGAACGCTGAATGTCAACGCTCCTTTGAGGGTATCAAGCAGAGCTTGATACAATCCCCAGTCCTAGCAATAGCCGATCAGGACAGGCCATTTCATGTGGTCTGTGATGCCAGCGATTTCGCAATCGGCTGTGCATTAATGCAGTACGACCTTGAAGGCGTTGAACGCGTCGTCTGCTATCAGTCGCGTCAGCTGCAACCAGCTGAGCGGAACTATCCAGTGCATGACAAGGAACTCCTTGCCATGAAGTATGCACTCGCGAAGTTCAGAGTCTATCTATTAGGAGATAGACCCTTCGTTGTTTACACTGACCATGCGTCCTTACGCACGGCAGTGAACAGCCCGCACCTTTCACAACGAATGGCGCGGTGGTTGTCATTCTTTGCAGAATACAACTTTACGGTCGAGTACAAACCAGGACGACTTAATGTCGTCGCTGATGCGCTCTCACGTCGTCCCGACTTTGAAACAGTCGCGAAACCCAACAGTGAGACAGTCACTGTTGCGGTTATGACGTCCTCAGTTCCATCTACAACGTTGTATGATGATGTGAGGCGGGCATACGCCCAAGATGGTGAGATAGTGAAGTTGTTGTCACATCTCTCCCAACCATCTCGAGAATCGTTGAAACGATTGTCGTCTGCGTATCGATCTGCATCAGATCGATACACTACTCGTAACGGTTTACTGTATTATACAGCCGTTTCTGGTGACACACCACGTGTTGTCATTCCAGATGATACTGATCTGCGTTTGCGGATCATGTTCGAGTATCACGATGCTCCTATAGGAGGACATCGTGGCCGAGAGAAAACACATCTCACGGTAAGTCGAGACTTTTACTGGCCCCGCCAGTATCAGTTTGTGCGAAAGTATGTTCGCGCATGCGAAGTCTGCCAACGAGTGAAGTCAAGTCCTTCACTGCGTGCACCTTTACAGCCTCTACCGGTTCCGGCTGAGTGCTGGGAATCCATCTCAATGGATTTCGTCTTCGGGTTACCCAAAGACGCACGCGGGAATACGGGTATTCTCGTATTTGTTGACAGATTCAGCAAAATGGTACACCTTGTGGCTGTACCAGAGACAATCACGGCAAGTGGCTGTGCTTGTGTCTTTATTGACACCATCTTCCGACTTCATGGGTTGCCCCGTGAACTCGTATCAGACAGAGATCCACGATTCACTGCTGATTTCTGGCGTTCCGTGTTCAAATCACTCGGAACGCGCTTGAAGATGTCAACATCTGATCATCCAGAGTCAGATGGTCAGACGGAACGTGCCAATCGTGTCCTTGAAGAGATACTTCGAGGATACGTACACTCCTTTAAGAGTTGGAGTGAGTTTTGCCGATGGTAGAGTTTGCCATCAACAACTCGGTGCATGCGTCCACGACACATACACCGTTTTACGTGAATGGCTTGCGCCATCCGCGTGTACCCACCTTACTAGAGTGTAACTCTGGTTTAAGGGGGAGGGACTCGCGCGAGCAAAAACCGATTTGGTTCACGCTCATCACGCTCTGACGAAGAAGTCATTGCGTTTGATGCCGATATCGATAACATCGATATCGAAGAAGATGATGCCAGTGAGAGTGCGGAAGCCCTCACTGAAGACAATGATCCCAGTGAGAGTGCGGAAGCCCTCACTGAAGAAAAGGTTGTTGTTGCTGCAGTGCGCTCACAGCACACTGAAGCTAACGAGTCATCAGATGAGTTCATACTGGCTCGTGAAACGGTAGTCCGTTTTGTGCAAGACTCCATCGCCGAAGCGGTGGATAAGCAAAAGCAAAACGCTGACAAGAATGGAAGGGCAAACACTCTTTTATTTAATAAAGGTGACTTAGTCCTACTGTCTACGGTTAATCTACCAAAGCATGTAGTGACTAACTTGGGTAGCAGTAAACTACTACCCAAGTACATTGGCCCATTTCGTGTATTGCACCGCCTAGGCAATGCATACACGATCGAGTTACCACGTAAGATGCGAACGCATCCCACGTTTTACGTTGGTCGGCTTAAGCCGTACCATCAGTACGCTGCTTCTTCCGATGAAGAACGCCCTTGCGCTCAAGCATCTCGCAGAGAGCCTTGTGCTCCCTGATGGTGGGCATCAACAAGGGTCTGAAGAGCAGCTATCTGGTCCCGAGACCGATCAACAATCCCACGAGCTACCCTTAGCTCGTCACGAAGAGATGTCAGAGATCTCTCGTTCTCAAGCTGAGCAAAGGCAAACTCAGCTCGATGCTTCGAGGCAGTGTCCACCATCTGGAGACGCCTATTCCGCTCATGCTCGAGATCGTCGCGTAACCCTTGCGTTACGCGATCAAAGAAGCTCTCGGGAACACACCGATCCACATGATCGTGTGGAGAGCGTCTTTCCTCCTCCTCCACCTCCATTAGAGGACTCTCGCGGTGGCCAGCGCTATCTAGTAGAGCAGCTGTTGAACCACCGCGACGTGAACGGACGTCGGACGAGTTATCTCGTCCGGTGGCGCGGCTATCCCCCGTCCTGGGATTCTTGGGAGCCCCGCTCCCAACTGATGATCGACGTACTGGGTCTGGTTGAGCAGTACGACGCGGCACATCCTGTGCCGCAGAAGGACCGCCGGAGAAAGTCTTCCCGGCACGGTCGTAAAGGGATTTCAGGTTGTCAATCCCTTCGTACATCTCAGTAGAGACACGTACGCGCCACCACGGGCTGGTAAGGAGGTAAGCCTCCTTAGGTGCTCGTGCAGAGTTGTTCACACAACATGGGCACGAGTCTCCCCAAGAGAGGCAGGGTAATCCTTTCTCCCTTGACAGACGATGCAGCTTGTAGCGTGCACCTGTCGGGGTTCGCTTTTCAAACTTATCACGAGCTTTGATAAGTTTGTCGTTCCAAGCGTCACGACCTACATCCTCGAGATTATGGATGTAGGCGTTCCACGCCTGAAGTAGTGAGGGACCATCACGTTTGTGATTCCCACTGTACCATCGATGTCTGAAGAAAGCATCGATGAAGAACTCATGTTCAGCGCGATAGTCTTTCGCGCTGGGGTCAAGGTGATGGATCCTTGACGAATCGAACAATCGTGTTCGATAACGATCACTCGTCGTCGCCGACAAGTGATCCATGACGGATTTAGGAGGCATCCATGCCTTCTTTTCTGGAGCGAGACGCAACACATTGCGGTCCCGCTCTTCCTGCGACGTGCCGACAGAAGTACTGGCACCTCGCTGTGAAGTGGTGTCCATAGGAGAACCGACACCACTATTAGCGCCCGAGTCTCGCGACCTCGAGCGCCTTCGCTTCGGCGATGGTTCATCTGACTCATCAGATGAACCAAAGATGCTGCGACGCAAAGCATCGTCCATGTCACGCTTGGCAGGCGGCTTGGATTCAATTGCCGTCGATACGGATCCGTCATCCGTATCAGGAGAGTACGAGACACCGAGCTCGTACTCTGTGAAGACACGAGTGTCTTCATGACCAGCGCCTGCATCACCAGGTGATACAGGCTGAGTCGATTCAGCAACCGATGGGATATCAGTTGCTGTAGTTTCTGCTTCGGCGTCCGCACAGAGACGTGCAGACGCGCTCTCGGCGGCCTTGCTTCGCGCATCGCATGGGCTTGTTTACCATGCGATGAGATGTTGGAAAGTGGACGCGGACCAACAAGTGGAAACCCCGTCCCAAATGATTTGGGACGAGTATCCATTTAGTCAATCAGTCACTAAAGTGACTGATGGTTAAGGGGGGTGATGTAACGGGGTGAATCGTTACATAACAATTTATAAGAAATTGTTAATAGAATATAACTATAAGAGTTATATTCTCAGAATATTGTCATAAGGACAATATTCTGTAGCACTTCCAAGTAGTTCCTAATTGGTTGATATAGGCCATTATATCAACCAACGAAGACGCGCCACGACAGACGCACGCAATGAGTGGTGAGCAGATAACTGATTTACACATTTGTATTTAGACATAGTTAGATGAAGATAAATAGTGATTTATTGCAGACATTAACTATTATAAATACAGTTCTACTTTTTACTCTAACCGAGTACTCGCTTCTTCTTACCGTCTTCCTCTGCACGTACGAGTGTACGTGAAGTTACGAGGCACCGCCTTATTCTGTTATCAGAATAAGTAGCTTGTACTGTCACCAGTACAAGCTTCAGGGTGCCCCGTTACAGTCCACGCTGCAGCAGTAATAGTTTCTAGTAGCTCCGTCATAGCTACAACGACCAACACAACTCGAAGACAGTACTCCATCACATGAAAACCCACATCGCGTAAGACCCACGTCTGTCTTATACCAAGCTTTTTAGCGTCCACAGAAAGAAGAAACTACCGGTCCCTTCTATCGCCAGCTCAAATTTTTATCCACAAAGACGTCAATTGGTCGTCTCATGAAAAAGGCCGATCGAAAAACAGAGCGATTCGTGGTCAGAACCTCTTTGTCGAGGTATCGCGCATACCTAACGCCAGTGTAAAGGGGCGCGAAGCCGCCTCCAGCCGTCCCCTTCGTGCGTCGCTTGCTCCTCGTCCCTTGTCCAAGCTCATCCTCCCTATACAAAACCTCTTACAAATGGAGTACGGACGTCTCGTGGTGCTCGGCTACAGCAGCTACCGCGTGGACATGGTCCAACGTCGTCCTGGAAGTACGTCCAGCACCACCAACCAAGAGCTGACTCTACCATCGTTTGGACTTGGTGAGGCTGCCTCGTCCACCGCTTCTGCCTCCATCTTGACGTCTCACAAGCGCTCGCTTAGGCAGTTTTGGAAACCACTGGGCAGTCAGAACGCGCACTTTGTGCTGCAGAAGCGCGTGCGGCCCAATGGCGTGCGGTTGCGCCGGTTCCATCACGTTGTGCCTGTTCAGGAGTTCCAGTTGAAGCGTCCAGGGACTACTACTACTACTACTACTAATCAAGGCCTTAAAGGGGTTACCACTCGCCTGATGCAGCGCATTCAGGAGGCTACAAAAGCTGCTAGGGGCGACGATCAGGCGGATGAAGGGGGGACCAAGGAGGTCGTGGATCAAGCAGCTCTTGGGTTGTACCAGATGTGCATCCCGATGGACGACCTGGACCCTTTTGCAAGTATCTCGGAGTTCCATGCTGACCCGGGTGTTGATATGTTCCAGATTGGTCGCATGCCTTGTGGCCAGAATGATTTTGTGATTCCAGGACCGAGGGTGGGAGCTTCGGGGACTATTTCTCGGTATGCGGCGAGGATCGTGTGTTCTCGGGAACCGCCGTTTGAGTGCCGTCTTTTTGCCGGTGGCTTTGATGCTGCTGGACGGATGAGCACGGCAGGCAATGCACTGAAATACTGCGTACGGTGTGGAGCGTGGCTGAAGCGTGTGAGTATCGAGCACATGTGTGTGAGGCAGAGTCTGATTGAAAAAGTGAGGGAAGAAGGTGCTAGAAAGGAGATGGACGTTGGCTGTTGGAAGGAAAAGAGTCACGACAGAGGAAGAGGTGGTGGTGTCCGGCATTATATTGACGAAACGAACGAAGACGGACTGCTTGAGCACTTTGAGATGGATGTACAGGACGCCAGTGAGCTGCCGCTCGATGGACTTACGAAGAATGGGGTGCGCGTGTGGCTCCCTGAACAGAAGCAGTGGCTTGAGGTATCGGTGAATGGCAGTTTATTCGCGATCGAATCGCGTGCGGTAAACGAGAAAATGTCGTCGTCAAAACCGCGTGCGAATGGTATCGATCGCCGTCGCTATCAAGACGCACTGCGATCACGTAGTGGAGCATTTAACCGTCCGACAGGCGGCGCTAAAAATCTGCCGCCGGTATTGACCGACGGTGCTATCATTGACCTGGGCGGCGTCCAGCTTCAGTTCCAGACAGGCTATCGTTCGGAGCTTGAAGCAAAAGCAGAGAACAGCGAGCTTTTGGAAGCGCCAGTGGTCTATTATCGGACGACGCCGTCTTCGATCAGCACCCAACTCGAGCAGCTGAACGTCCAATGTCCTGTTCAGCTACACTCGCTACGATTTACTCGTGTGGATGCAGATGAAGAAGGGGTTCCGCTGAACGAGATTCCTCACGTGTTTCCAGCGTGCGGCCATGTGTTTGGATTTGAAAAGCGCATTGCGAGCTCGCACACCTGTCCATTGTGTAGGAAGCCCGGGTCGCTTGTGCAGTTGCTGTTGAAAGAGAATTCCCAGTTGCAGTCCACGGAAGAGCAGCATGTCATTCCTGAGTGTGTCTTCAACCCGTGCGGTCACGCTATCAGCCGCAAGCTTGCCCATTATTACTCGGTGCTGGTGATGCCCAATGGCCGGGCGATCTGCCCATTCTGTGCAGTGCATCTCGATCTGCGCATGCCATTTTCGAGACTCTACCTTTATTGCGACTCGGAATGATGGAAATATCAGTACGAGGTACCTAGACAATGACTGCAAGAAAAGGAATTTAACGACGAAACATACAAGAACTGCGTACAGCAAAGTTACGCACACGTGAGAGCGATTAGAAAACAAGCCAACAAGAGTCGCCACAAATACCACAACACGGAACATCTCATAAAGAGTGATTCGTACGTCTACTTCATGCAATTGATAGCTATTCGTTAACTGACAGACTTGTTCCTGACATTCGAACGAAGAAAAAATGTAGAGAGACTGTGCTCATGGCAATGCACTTACAGTGACTTTCAAAGACGTTCACGAGATTTCGAAAATGAGTGGAAGAGCTTACAGCATCTCGTACACGTGATGAGCTTCTAGGTACATACCCAAGACAGTCACCGCTACCATCTCCTTTCGGTAGTGTAACATCGTTGGAGTTGGTTAGCCCATGCACAATGCATACACTTTGTTCTCTTTTGCCATGTAGCGTCAGAATTCCTATTAACACCTTCTACATGACAAAAAACCCTTCATGCTCGAGCTTGCTATAACATCTCATCCAGGCAACACATATTGTCAATCGCTTTACATGGCACTTTTATCGATCTATCTGAGTTTTGTTAGAGATACACATGTTTGGTGTTTTATCATACAGCAAACATGTACCCAGCTTGTGACTTCTTAAAGTACTCTATTTCGACACGTGCGAATGAGCCGTAAGTAAATAGCGCCCGACTGATTGCACGGACTAACAACGTGTATACATTCGCCGACGGGTACTCTATTCACAACACCTAAATCAGTCAGCGAACTTAGTGACCATCTCGCACTTTAACCCGTCGCAAAGTACGTCGTACTTTACCCACAACAAATACAGACAAGTCAAGAGGATGCTGCGCTCTTGCATCGCCAAGACCGCGAAGCTAACGCCCCTCGTCCGTCGCTTTGGTTCTGAGATCAAGGACGATGTCGTGCCTGTCTCTCCACCTACCCCCATCGTCGTGAAGAAAGGCGGCAGCTCGTTCATGCAGCGGATCGTGTCGTTTGGAGTGGGAGTGGCGGTCGGAGCTGGGTACGGACTCTACGTGCTGACGGACGATATCGAGAAGTCGACGCACCAGATCCAGAGCTCTGTGGGCAGTCTTAGGGACGAGATGATTGGGCAAAATGTGGCGCTTACGAAGCGCATTGAAGCGCTCGAGGAGAAGACCAAGTGAGGAAAAGAGACAAGAAGCGGGAGCTGATGGAGACGCTAGCACACGAAACCAGTGGTGGTGGTGGTTGGACGAGAGAGAAGGAGGAGATGGGAACGATAATGGCTCTCTCTTGATGTTGGCAGTCAAGTCGTCCTCTCATTCGGTCTGCACTTGTTTTTTCTTCTTCTTGTCTATCACTTGAGCTTGATTCATAGTTTACTCACGTACCAGCCGCGTACGATAAATGGTTGACTGTTCCCGTATCGGCAGCTGTGCTCGTGACAAGCTGTTGCAGATCCGTAGACACGAGATCGTACACTTTGTCAGCCAGCTGCATCGACGTGAGGGCGCTGTGCAACGACTCGATGTCCTTCCGGAAACTAGCATTCAGCTCCTGCTTTTCCTCGAGCTGCTTCAACAGCATTGCGACGCGCAGCTTGTACGACCGCAGCTCGCGTTGCAGTAAGCAAAAGATCGTGACATACCGGTCCCGTAGTACTGCCACATCCATATTCGCCTTCAGTGCGTCGTCTGCCATGAAGTCCTCGACTAAATCATCGATAGCACTGGCGTCAAGCATCTCAGTAGCAGCGCTTTCATCGACATCGATACTGCTTTCATCATTGCCACAATCTGCTAATCCACAGCCGCCTGTACTGCCACTGCTCCCTCGACGACGACGCTGGTCTCGCTCCCGCTGTCGCACTCCCTGTTTCTCTTGTTCGAAGCTTGCGCCCCCATCAATTACGCTTCCCGTCACCTCCACGATTTCCAAGTTAGGAATATCCGACATCGAAATCCGTTTTGAAGCACGGAGCAACGTCTGGCACTGGATACCCATCTTTTGCGCGTGATTGATCAGTGCATTAGCGTCCGACAGCAACGAATCATCATCCAAGCCGTCAAGATGCTGGCATCCTTGGTCCCCAAAACCTTCATCGATGCTGCTTGCTGGACTTGGTCTTGCGTCATCAATAAAACTCAGTCGCCTACTATTTCCATCCTGTGCTGCGTCCAATGCTTCGAAAGCTGCGCTTGTAGCTGAGGATCCGGGATGACCTAAACTGAGCGAGTCGCTCGCAGATCGATCCCACGGTAGGTCGCGTGCCAGAGCAGGCGATGTCATTGGCGTAGAATCATCCTGAGTCTGCGGGTCGCATTCAAGAGACGGCGTGTACAACCTCAGCATGCATTTCAATCCCAGTAATCCGCCAAAGTTTGTATCGACACCTACTGGGAGCTGCTTCGCGGTTTCTCCATCCTGCGTGATCTTGCGCACAGTCAACGGTGGCAGTCCGTGAGCAACGGCAGGGTGCTCGATCTCATCTGATATGGCCATCTTGCAGAAAAAACGCAGGGTGAGCACAATAACATCCCGCACCGTATTGGACTCGGCCCGGAGCCGAACGTAGCAGTCTTTCTCGAGGTATAGAAAGAACTCGTTCGGTGTGCTGTAAGCTATCTCGAGCTGCATATAGCATCACAAGGTTGCCCCGTCACAGACAGCACGATGCAATGAAAATTCTGCCACACACCACTTCAGACACAGCGATAAACCATTACCTTGATATCTGCAGAATATCGCCTCTCAAACGGTGACAACAGCGACGATTCACACGTCAGCCGTACTCCACGATCGTCACTCAGCAGCGTCCAGCTCTCCTGGAAAACAAAAAAACATCAAACAGCCGCCGCCACCAGTTTAGCCAGCTTAGCTCCTCATAACTTTCTCCCCCACTTTCTCTCTTTATCCAATTTCCTCTGTCGTACCCGTAGCTCCTCCTCCTGCAGCTCCCCGTTGTCCTCTCTTTTCACTGAGATACTTGCAAGGCCCATAAACAGCACCGACTTGCGGTCGAGGTACATCTCGACTTTGCTCCTGACTTGCGGATCCTCTCGGATCGGTCCGTACTCGAGCATCTTGGTCTTGAGTCCGTCCTTGTCTTCAATCATGACTTTCACCAGCACTCTCGCCCCAATATCATCAGCTGTGGGTGTGTACCACTCATTATCGGCGCCTAGAATCACTTGGAAATCGTCCTGCTCCCCCACGGCTCGAAACCACTGCACGGACACGGGGTAACAGCAGCAACTGGAGCGCAACGGTCGTCCCAAGTACGTTAATACGTGCAGATGGGTGTGGTGCACACCACCTTGCAGCACGCAGTCCTCTAGTACGCGGGAGACGGTGCAGACGCCGCCGACGCAGTTGCAGCGCTCCACATCGTGGACGTACGCGGGATTTGAAACGCCTGTTTTTGGACCTGGTATAGACGTGGACGTGCCATTTAATGACTCGGACGACGGCCGCTCGTCGTGCCGCGGGGACGCCGAGATGCTGCGCTTGAGCGAGTCAACCCAGCGACTGCGCATGGTGGCGGCACGAAATTTGCAGACGGGAATGGGTCTGACTTGCAGTTTGTATGGGAAGATGCGTTTTTTTTTAGACTTTCGAGACGCGAGTGGGATTGAATTGAGTGATTGATAGGACACTCGTCGGAATTTTGTAGTAGGGTTTGTGCTCCCTTTTTTTAAAGTCCATACAATTGTGAGCTTTCAGGATTTTTGTACGAATGGCGTAGCAAAAATGAGCAAAAAATTGATTTGCAGAAAGAAAAAGTAAAGCTGGGCACATCCTCAAATAGCAAATTTCGCCCACCGTCTTATGCACATTTTTAATAAAGCATTACTTTTGACAATCCAATACAAATACTGGATTATTTTCAAGCTTTAGCTTCGATTAAATATGTATTTGAAAATCGCCACCGACCAGTTGAAATTGCTGAAATCGCTTGATTTATGATTGATCGAATTGTTTAACTGCGTTCAAATTCATCCCCAGCATCTTGTGGCGTAAATCTTATCGATAAGAATATTTGGTAGACATGATTAAAATTTATGAGTAAGCATTCTAAAGCCGTCAAGTCTGCATGCGTAAAAATGGCTTCTTTAAGAACAAGACCAGGAAAGTGAAAAAGGTAAGCGGAAATAAAAATGCCTCATTCTATCACAAAGTTAAAAAATGTTCTTATTCCTTAATAATTGCACCACATAATGAGAAAATGACAAAGAAAATTTAAAAGTAAACAGCCACGGTTTGATGCGTACACAATCAGTCGTACTGCGTAAATTAATTACTTACCACAACGTAAACTCAAATACACAAAGGTTTCGCACTCCATTATAAAGGCATCATCGCGATTTTGGTTTGTCAAAAGATGATAGTCAGGATTTCGCGATGTCAAAGCATCTGATTGCATAAGTGGCATTTGCCACCTGCAGAGGATGTCCAATCGCCGCCAGCGGGAACGTAAACGGTAACAGATACGTATACGATAAATGATGGGTACACATTACTAAAAAGTTGCGGTAAAAAATACCGCGCAGGTAAGACCAGAAAAGCTCTATCTATTCTCGTACTGGTCAGTGTAACGGGGTAGCTCGTTACATTATATTGACACCAAACGATGTGAAAAGGGAGATTGTATAGCGTGAAAATTCCATGCCAATATTATTCGACATGGATAATATTGAAGGAATACTATCCCTTAGGATAATAATCACGTGCTTCTCGAATATGAATTGATAACAGCCATGTCAACCAAGATTACCACCAATCGCCGCTAGACGTGAGTAATGAGTGGTGAGCAGGTTGTCGTCATACGATAATGTAGTTTAATATAGCTAGATAAAGACTGAAGTTGTATTGATAGCTTGACTATATTCATCACAGTTCTCTCTTTACCTTTTACTCAAACTAGCTGTTTGAGTAGATTAGCTTTCTCTTCACGTACTAGTGTACGTTAAGTTTCGCGGCACCCCAAACAAAGGGTGCCCCGTTACACCTGGTAGCACTTTGTAGTCGTCCAACGACTTTTTAGTGTCCGTCCAACATGAACATGTTGGACGTAGAAGACGACAGCTTTCACCCCACACGTGAAGGCTACTCCTATCTGAGTGACTCTGAATGGGAGATAGTCGGCCGCATGAGTGCGCTCATGGGCGAACCCACCATCAGTGGTATGTTGGAGTCTCTAAGCAGAGACCAGCAACATGCCAGTATCAACAAGTTCTTACAAGGTGAACTTGCCCTCGAAAGACAGAAGATAGCCTTGATACAACTGCAAGGCTCTCATCAGTCGATGGGCGGGCCGACGCACACGCGTCGACACGAAATATTGATAATTGTTATCTCAAGGTACAAGGGAACCGATGAAGATTACCTTTGAGATGGTTCGTCGAGTTAGACGACGCCATCAGGGCCCGTCACATTAAATAGTGTACGTATTATTTTGGCGCAATGTTGCTCACCGTCATAAGTGTATTCGTTGACATATCCACATACAATCAAGCAATAACACTTATGAAAAAGCGCGCAAGTAGGCTGTGTCACTTTTAACCTAGATTGAGGTTTGATAGTTTTATATGTCTATTGTTTGTTATCAGAAGAATAAAAAGTTACGACTAACACCCTCAATATCTCTACATACTCATGTGCATCATACGTGTGGGTTGCACCGAGATCTCACATGCAGCAAGCGTATTCATAATGCTCCAGTAGACACAATATGGGCACGTGAAGGTAACTTTGACCCTGAATATTTTTCTACAACTAGTTTTTTTCTTACAGCCACCATAATTATTTAATCATTCAAAGTAAGAAGGTAACGATGTAAATGCTAGCCAAATATCCACACAGTATTGACATTTTTTTAATTTGGGTTGCTGCTTATTTAACCGGGATCAGGCAGACCTCATCATAAGGCCCAATTGATCAACGCATATTTTATTAAAAAATTGTATCTAGCTACGTTATACCACGACCCCTATCATTAAATCATTTAAATAAGAGGCTGTCTAGGCGTACACCCCCTAGTAACTGCGCGCACCCCCCCATTGTGTATAATCGTCCAATCGTTCTGTGTGCCCTCTCATTTTTATAAAACGAGGTTATTTTTCTCTCGCGCTGACCAGCAACCGAGAGTTAGCGCGCGGAAGAAGCCAAAAGGGATCATCACTCTCTTTTCCAATGTGTTGAAGCCACAGCATGAACAGCGAGGACGCGACCACTCGCGCAGCCAAGCGCAAGCACGCCACTTCGGGTGGCTGCAAGCTGCTGCGCTGGGACGCCGCGCGCTGGCAGCTGTTCGAGCGCACGCTGCCGTACACGACGCGCCTCAAGACCGCGCCGCTTTTAAACTTGCGCGCCCCGCTCGCGTCTATGTACGTGAGATGCTGTCCCGTCTGCGGCGTGGCCCGTGCTTACGCTCTCGTGTGTTTCTCTTTTTCTGTGCTGTTGTTTATTAGCTAAGAGATCCATTTTTTCAGCTGAAAGAGTCAAGCGCCGTCGGTGGTGATGGAGCAACCGATTGTCGGCACGCGCTTGAGGTCTGTAGTGTATCTGGGGCTCGTGATTGGCGCGACAGGAAGCGACACGTGTCTGCACAATGTCAAGTGGTTGCGGTTGTGGTAGTGCTGTAGGGGTGATGGTGAGGGAATGGGAGGTATTGACTGGACAACTGAATGGGCTGGTAGGGAAAAGGACCGATTAGATTTTCAGTATGTCAATCTAAAGTTTTACGGGAGTTAAGGTAGGAGCTCTTTTTGAATGGTTTGGCATGGTAGGCTGTGGGCGTCACGTGTGAATGGTGTTACTGGGTGATTGTATGTAGATGAGGAAATGGGTCCGGAGGTGCACGACAATAGGTTGGCACAAGCATTTTGCAAGACGCTATTTGGCCTCTTGAAGGGCGATGTAAAGGACATGGATATGGCTGTTTTTGGGGCGGATGGCTATAACTTTGTGGGGTTTCTCGTTGTGCGGTGAGTGATGACATAGTTAACGTTGAATGGAGATACTCACGGGGTAAAATTGTGGTGCTGACCTCCACAGAGTAGCCTTGGTCAAGTACAAACCGCTCTAGTGCCAACTGAGCATCATCAAGAGAAGGATAAGTATGCTCGGGAGGTGGTGCTAGCATTGCCGGAAGAGCAAGGAACAGAGAGATAAAAGGATTGAATGGAGGGTAGCTCGCATTGAGTGGGAGAGAAAAAATTCGACATCACGGGAGGGGGGTGCGCGTAGTAATTAGGGGGTGTACGTCTAGGCGGTCCCTTAACTAAATCAGCCAAAGTGGGACTTCACCTTGTATACGACTTTTGAAATGTGAATCAAAAGAAACCTAAAGGCTTGCAACGATCTTAAGAAAATGAGTCACGCCGCTATTGCCGCACTTTAATCATTACATTTTACCAGCGAGCATGTATTAAAAAAAACATTATTTTGTGTGCACTATACCGATTTTGATTAGATGAAAATTGATGTCGTGTCAATCTCTAATCACTTTTATAGATTAGTACGCGTCCAACAAATTTATGCCAAACAGGTAGTCTAAAACGAGCTAGAATTTTGATAGGCACAAGATGCTCACAACAAGCGAGATATGAAAGCCATTCCTCATAAGATGACCCAGCGTTTTACCAGCATAGCTTCCAATAATGTAATTAAATAATCCACTATAAATAATCTGATGATCAAAAAATAAATACTGTACATCAGGCTAGGGGCTACATAGTTTTGTATGATTTACAAAAGCCAGTCATTTCATAAATATCCTAATCTACTTTTGCATTGTCTCAATCGCAATATTTACAACTCAAGAAGATTTGTCCAGATGGCTGGTAGCGAGGTGTGAGAAAGATGTTTTATGTGTGTGGTGTGAGTATGTCTTCATGACAATTTTAAAAAAACACGTTTATTCATCAGAATATATCATAGCTTGAATTGCGGAGCTCGTGCAAGTACAAGCATCACAATGTGCATGATTGTGAAAGCTCACTATTTTTTGTCATGACCGGCCAAAATGAAAGACAACACATTATATTAGACCTGAGCAGTTAAGAAACTTTGCATTAATACGAAAGAATGTAGATGTATAATGTAAGATTATTTCTCTAATTTACGCATGCACCGAAAGACTACAATGCTAACGGGTAATATTGACTAAACTCAAAATAGTTCAATACCATTTATCTCCGCAATTATTTAACGTATTAAAAATATGATTGGTTTAATGCATATACTGTGTTGCTTTTAATAGCCGCTCAAGTGCACCCAACACTTCTCTTTTCACCCCTACTGTGTTTTTACGCAATTCAGGCGTAAATGTTTATTGCACATTTATAAATACGACAGACAACTTAAAAAATTTATGGAAAATCGAAAGCGCGATAAATACCATTTTCACACCACAGAAATGACCTTGCGTAGATGACTAAACATTAAGTCCTTGGATTTGGTATCGTTGAAGATCGCACTGATCAAGGCCAGGACTTAGCTTAAACGTATCTTCTAGCACTTCGACGCATGTTCTTCTTTTTAATATTTAGTTCTCTAGTTGTTGTTGGTAATATTATCGGCAAAGACACTTGGAATAATCAATCTACACGAGGAACGGGAATCTATCAGGCCCATGTAAAGAACGAGTATGCTACATTCATGGAGTATAGCTGCACATTTTAAGCATCAGAAATACGAAAGTGACACGAGCTTAATTTTTGCGTTATGGGGGACGAAAATGTATCCAGTAAAGGTGCTTACAGTTGATATTTAGTTTAAGGTTGGCTGTGACGTTAAGGTGCCCAGATCGAAGCAGCAATATACTCCTCGTATTTGACTTTACCAAAAACAAGGTTCAACCTTTGCTATACCTGTATAACATGCGAGTCTTGCGTGCTTGCTGCATGTTGGAGAACAGTTATAAAATCTCGGTAGAAATACGTATTTAACACGTCATATTTTTCAGTAAATTTGGGATCTAATTAATTTGCGTGGAAGCCCAAAAACGCATTGACAAATTTAGACTTAATCCTTTGATAAAAATTCACAAGTTACTCACTTCATCAAATATTAAAAAAAATAGTTTTAGTTTTTTCCCACTCCACAGATTAAAAAGTTGTCTACCTACAAGCTTAAAATGAAGTGTGGAACGCAGGCTTTACGTGGTTTTTTGGCAATGTCGCTGTGCTTGTATTTTTAGTCTGTTAAAAATACTCACAATGATAAATCGATCACAGTGGTCGACAGATTACCTTCGATGTGTGCCGAAACTAAATATTTAGCTTTGTAAGCGTTTTAACATTTATGGGCGAATAGTTGCGGCTCTCTGCAGACCACACTTACAAAATTTATGGTTTATGATGTAGCTATCGAGAACTCGACGGCGCATGTTTCTTCAACAGCCATTATTTAGCCCATATGGGATTTTTGAAGTACATGACAGTGCTACTTTGCACAGAAATTTGGGACTTGTCTGTAAAACGTTTTAGCTGTTCCTTGAGATTTTATAAATTTTTAATTCGCAATCAGTGGTATGAACATGGAATGCAATTCACAATCTATCCTCTGAAAGTACGACATTTATTTAAGCATGTCAGGTTAAAAGCTATGTGACTTTTATCGTTATCATCCACTTCTACCAGGCTTTAAGGTTTGTACCACTATCTACCACTTTTTAACAGACATTAACGGACTTACGAGTTCTTATTGTATCACCCAGTCTAAACCAGTTATCATAAAATTTCTGCAAAATGGGTGTCCCTATGTAGAGTGGTCCGGCCGGGTTAAAATAATCAAAATACGATGAAAGTGATTTTAAAGTCACTATGCAGAAGTAAAGCGTTTGCAAGCACAAAGCACGCTGCGAAGCAGCAGTTGACGAGAGGCCAGTCATGTCATCTAATTTATAAATCGTTGTCACGAACAGTATTTTTCTCGTCAGAAAAATTTCCTAATCCATAATTAATATCCCCACGTGTATCAAAAACAAGAACATGATGCTAAATTATGATAAAATTGTCATTATTATGATCTTGTTATTACTTACATTCTACTACATACACACTATTTACCGAGCAGCGTCTGCTTCCAGCATACTTATTAATTTTTCCTCCAGCAAACAGATTAAAATAGGCACTTAACGATTAGGCAGAATTACCAGATTCTGATGCGCCACTTAAAGTTGATTATTACATCGTTTGTAGATCATTTTATTCTGTTCCGTATTTCTATACGTAAAAAAAGGGGAGGTTAACACAATCTTGGTGTTCGTAGCAACAATAGAGAACTATTGCCTTTCTTACTCGAAACTGTGCAGAATTAACTCGTTATCGCAAGAATCAAGTCGAAAATCAGCCTGGAAATAGCCTTTAAATCGCCCCGAATAAGGTCTCGCTACTTATCAATTACAAAGGGCCCAAATTGCTTCATCCTGCGCGGCAAAACACAATTGAAAGTGAAGTAAAATTCCACAACCTTCACAAATTTATTTTAATCAACTTATTACTCACCCTTCCGTATGTACTAGAAATATTGCTTGCAAAAAGGACTCGAGCATCTCGCATATAAGATACAATTAAAATGGATTAGTTAGAAAATTGATGCACGCCCCATCTTTGCTGTCGACATATCAGCTCTACAAAGGCGGAAGTCAAGGACCCAGCACACAATGTGCTGATCCTCAATCCATGTCTCCAACTTGGTCGAAAATTCCTGAGGGGCTCGTCGAGCTCTGCAGCCGGCAGCTTCGAGTTTTTTTCAAACATTGATTCAGCTTTAATGAGCGTGGATCGTTTCGGAGGATACAGGATGTCGGTCTCATGGAAGGCTTGGATGGGATAGAATGAATACATGAACTCATCCAGGACGTGCAGAACGTTTCATAACAAACGTGATATGAAGGGCAGCATAGTAAAGTGGAAAACAGTGCACCGCAAGGAATATGATATCTGAGGTGAAAAGCTATCCTTTTGAACTAACTATGAGACGAGCAACAAACGTGATCTTACCTGTAATGCAATTTATAGACCGCAAATCAGACTTACTGTGGTTCCAAAGGATTCCTCACGGGTTCCATTTGGTGCCCATACCGAATTGTGGTCCATGTTTGCCTCCATTGAAATGAACCCACGGACTGCTGGTTGAAAATTCGACTTTTGCGAACAATTCTCACGGCCTGCTGCACTGCCTCTTGAATTTGTCAGAACCACTAGAAATGCTATAGTCAGAAAGTTTAATTGATGTGCTAGGCATAAAAAAGATATCGTTGGCTATCTGCTAATAGTAACACAAGCCATATTGATAGGTGCACTTAGAATACACTCACTTAGAACTCTATTCCTTACTATGTCAACTAATCATGTATTTGGCGGCAAAATTTTATTACGGTCCATCCCTTATTGCAGTGATGCCGAGATCTCACATCATACCTCTCGGCCGGAATCACGACAGCAGACTCATAGCCTTGCAACTCGTTAATATCAGCAGGTTTGACCGAAGATGTAAAAATTAAGAAAACCTGGAATGTGCGCTTGTCATCAACCTCGATCCAGGCGTGACATCAGACATTTTTCTAGTCAGCTTGTACATATTGTAGTTAGTCTAAAAAATTTTCGGTGTGTCATGTTGATTTAGCAAAAAAAACGTTGTAGTGGATGGCGTTTTCTGGAAAATCAAAGTGATTCAAAAGGTGGTAGTCATGTCCAGTTCGCTACAAAGGGACCTACAAAATACTGTCGATCTTCGTGATGTCTGATGGTCAGATGCTTCTTAAAAATACTACGACTACTATCTTTGAAGAATTCAATTGTTGTATTGCTCGTCACTATCGCCAACGTCAGCAGATTGTTGCGTTTTAATACTTATGAGAGCAATGAGGGTGAGCCTTAAAATGATGTCTGATGATCCCCGAAAATCTGATATTTTACCGAATTTGATGTGCCCTCGCAACACTGAAATTGTGTTGAGGATTGAGTATGAATAGGTTTATCGATAAGATCGCATCATCGACTTTTATTACCTTTCGGTAAATTCGCTTTCTCCCAAACCATTAACTGAAGAGGCCGTACGATTTAACTTTATTCATCG